GGGAGGGGGAGGTGGGGGATGAGGGGACCTCAATCGAATAGCTCAGGTTTACGAGGAGCAAGATATGGGATAGCCATAGTGTCTGCGGAAAAAAATGAATAAGAAAACGGCAATGAATCACAAGATATTGTTTTATGTTTTGAAATTTTTTAATTTTTCCTAAAGCAGAAGTTTCTCGTGCACCACTTAAACACAGTTACTAGCGGCGCAAGGTGTTTTTAAACGGTTTTCTTTTCTTATTTTATTTATCAACTTAAGAGCACAATTTAAAACTTGAATTTTAAATTTCCTAATTAAGTAAACACAAAAGGTCTTTATGCTTTCTTGAGAAAATATCATTAAGAGTGAGTTATATTAAGATAAACTATATATTATAAACAATATGGTCGTTTGACAAATCGATCGCCTGAAGACATAATGTCTGAGGCCAAACGGACAAAACGCGGGACAACAAAATGTGAAAAGCTAAAGCGATTTATGTGACAAAAACGCTTGAAACAAAATGCATTGCGACAAAATGACTTGAGACAAAGAACAAACGAGAAAAATCGATTCCAACAAAAGCCAAATGCGGTGACGACAGGGGAAATTGATCAAAAAGACAAACTCACTTTGTATTATGGCCCTAAATCACTAACTTTTGAACTTTTGACTTTTTTTACTCGGCCACCGAATATAACAGAAGTTAGAGATGAGAATATGTGGACCGCGTAGCACTTATGAAATACATGAAGATATAGAAATATAGATAAGTTATTGTGCTTGGGAACGAGGTTATTCCGGGCGAAACACCCTTGGAATTAAATTCAGAAAAATTAATTTCCGACCTCTCTGGGAAAACCTTCGACCTTCCCAGCGAGGTCGGAAATTAATTTTTCTGAATTTAATTCCAAGGGTGTTTCGCCCGGAATAACCTCGTATCCAAGCACTATAACAGAAGTTAGTATAATTTTAAACTTGAATATAGATGTGTATGAGAACATATATATGAAATATATATTTGTACTGCGGTTGTAAATGTATCAAATTGAGCTGATCCTCGCAGTATATGAAGCAACTTATGCAGCTGCAAATTGAACGGGATTTGAACGGGATTTGAACGGGATTTGAACCCGTTCCCTGTCGATTCCGGTGCCATGCTCTAACAACTGAGCTACCAAGTCTTATATGAGACTCACAGTTTATACGAATACCAATTTGTTTCTTTTTCGTTTGCGCGTTTATTCGTTTATTTGTTTTGTGGGGGGAGGAGTAAATTTTTTTTGGCTCATTGCCGGCCCCCAGCTCCTAGGTCCTCGCTACGCCCCTGGTTTAACTAGCACTATTTTGAGCAATTTAGTAATTAGTGTTTCACGGATATATTGTTTGCACTTCATTTATACGTATAAATATGAATATATAGAAGAGAAGAGAAGAGAAGAGAAGAGAAGAGAAGAGAAGAGAAGAGAAGAGAGGGAGGCTTGGGTAAGATATTGACTCGTGATGCATTGTGGGAGGGAGGATGGCGCGAAGATCAAGAATCCAAGATGGCGGACGTGGCTAGTTCGAAAAAAACCATTCAATCGAGCTTAGTTACTGATGTACTACAGAAAGCAGGACACTTAGAACAGGAAGACTTTCATGTCTGTGTCAAGCAGATGCTCCAGAAGGCAGAAGAAATAAAGGTAATGTGGTATTACTAATTTATATGAAACCCTTCGACTTTTACAGTTTGTTATAAAATATTTTCATATGATCGTTTCTTCTCTGACTTTTTCCATTTTGCTCTCAGTTTCTTGCCCTTATCCCTCATTATTTTAATTTTTCATCCTTTCTTTTAAGATGATGCATCAAAAGCTTATTTTTCGTATAATTTCAACATGCATTTAATCTTAAAAATTTAAAAATTGGTTAACTTTTCATTTAATTAACTTACTATTGATTCTAATATTTACTCGATGGAGTTTAAGCTTATTCGAGAGTTTTTATGAGAGAGTCCTTTAAAATGTTCCAAAATGCATCTTTAGACGACAGCCATATCTAAATTTCTGAAATATTTTTAGGTCGATGTATTCCAAGCCATTTACAAGGAGTATTCATTTGGTGCTTTCCAAGACTTGAATTCATCTACTTATGAACTGGATTGGAGGGTGAAAAATCTTCTGACAGACATTGAGAATGCTTCTAAGAGGATCAAAGTGAGTGGTAAAGCTATAAAATAGCCAATGTTGTAGTGATAAAGAATAAATCGTATTCTTGCACTAGTCAATTGAAACCCCAACCCCAAGGACAGGGCAGGGAATTTAACATTTATGCACATGTAGTGTTAAATTTAACACTTTCCCTTAGTCCCTGGAGAAAGATTTGCTCTTAATCGATAAGTTATTGATTAAGTTTTTGCTGTGAAAATTGTGAAATTGTTGAAGTATGCATTAAATTCACCAATATAATATACATTTATCCTGTGATATTTAAATTGCCTCTTACAGTGCGACTACTGTAACCAGGGCCACTTATACCAGTTAGACAAGCTAATAGACAAGAGAACCAATTAAAATGTAGAATTAAAACAATACATTCCAACTTTGGGTAGTAGTTACATTACATTAAGATCTCAATGCTCTTGCATTATTACATGTTATGTTATTTAACAATTATTTGCCAAAGGCGTTGTGAATATCGGGGAATATTTACCGAGACGCGAGTCTTCGAGCAGCAAGGTAAAATTCTCCGATATTCACTGAGGCTGAGGCAAATAATTGTTTTAGTATAAATACACAGGTGATTCTTTCAAAAGAAAAAAAGAAGATAAAGACATTTTTTTCAAGTAACAGGAACAAAGCAGCTGGCCGCCATTTTGGATTATCGCTGGAGGTGATTATTGTGTGATAGTGAGTTTCTCGACCAATCAGCGCGCAAGATTTTCAAAATTCACCTGTGTATTTTTACTAATATTAATTATTATTTTAATATTATATATTTATTATTTATTAAAACTACAGTTTTGTAGTGTAGTTTTCTATTAATTTAAGTGGGCGCCTTTAGAACTTTGCCTACATACATGTTGTCCACTTAATAAAGGCTGTCAGCTGAATAAAGATTGTTTTCTGCCAATCCCTGCATGGTTTACACTTCACACTGCTCAGGAATGTGTTTTTTTAGTAGCTAAGGTTTTCATAATGTTTGCCAGGGGTCAATACATCCACAGCTGGATCTTGCAGCAACAGAGCATTCAAAATTGACCCAAGAGTTTCATGAAACAGAAGCCATTGCAGATGTTTTAACCAGACTGTGTAAGGTATGTTAGTATGTTACTTGTAGCATGCTGAAATACATATTATAAAAATTGGGTGAGTTAGTGCATTAGGTACCACTGGGGATTGGAGGGAGGGAGGGGGGCTGTGTGGATAAATTTTTAGTGGCCTATTAGTTTTTTAAGTGCTCCACCGGTCAACTTTGGCTGGCCATATCTCTTTTATGCAAGCACCCACAATTTTGAAATTTCACACACTTATTACTGTACAAAGATTAAAGTTTGTAATGATGTACATTTCATTAGAATTGGAGTTACCATAGCAATGAAACAATGACATCAATGTTTTGAATTAGCAGCAATTTAACATCTTATTTGATCTAAACTTTTAAATTGACACGCTGAACGCTAATCTTGCGGCATTTGCCTAGACTTATACAAAGTTTAGAGAAAATTATAAAGGCCAAATGTTTTAGGGATATACTGTATCAAGCTTCTTCTCTGCAAAATTTCACATCATAAAGTGGTTTCTTAACCTTTCCACCCTTGGGTCCAAAACGCAATCTTTTCTGATTGGTTAAAAGAGCTAGGTTACTTGAAAGTTTAACCAATACACAGAATTGATATATATATATGGGGACCAAAGTAAATATTGTTCAGGACTGACTAGCTTCTCTTATGCTTTGGTGTTTCCAAATGAAAACTATACTAGTCAGTACAGAATAATAGTTATTGAATTGTTTGCCATATTTTGATTCAGTGTATAAACTTAGTTTAATGTTGATGATGAAATGCAACTGAACTGCTTTAATCAGGTACAGAATGATGTAATTAGTATATGCAATAGGACTCCATGCTGTCTAATTAAGAAATAATTGGACGAGGAAAATTCCGAGGACTGACAAAATTGGATGAGGCCGTAGGCCAAGTCCAATTTGGCAGTCAGAGGAATTTTTCAAGTCTAATTATTTCTTGATTGGGGCGGAGCATGAAATCCCATTACCTATTAATTATATAGCTGCCTAATTAATCCCATATCAACAAGACCTGTCCAATTGAGAAAATAATTGGACAGTTACCTATATGGGATTAATGAGAAGCTGTATAATTATTTGTTGAACTGGTCTTGTAGATTCACACTGCTCTAGATAGGTTTCCAACTGAAATGGACACTGAAGAATATTGCAAGGCAGCAGAAATTTTTGACACAGTGGTAAGTCATTATTTTTCCTTCTTTTTTTTTTCAAGTTTAAGAACAGCTGTTATTTAAAAGGGGGGAAGAAGTATTAACCACAAAGTCCTTTTTACATTACATCCCTTTGATTCTGTGATCAAATTGGAATTTAGAATTTGGAATTTTGTTGTTGATATTTACTGAGGTAATGTGAGGTAGGGAAACCAAAGGGTCAAAAACCTCTCTTAACATTATAGAAGAGAACAACACATGGAGTAAACTTTTAAAAAGATTGACAATGTGATGACGCAATTTATCGTCAATTAGGGGACAGACACATAGAAGACTGATGTCTATTTGTTTTTTACRATAACAAAAAACGATAAAAACTTCTCATTTTTAGTGATCAAAACAACCAACAAAAAGAGCGCAGCTTTATCAGCTTTATCTGTCTGTCCTCTTATTGATGATAAAAAATAACCAATCAGCTCACGCGAAATTTGTAAGTTATTGAAAAATCAACTCTTGCTCAAGGCTCTGCACCCAGGGCTTCAACCATGGACCACTAATGCAACAAAGCCTTTAGTTGGTGAGAGAATGACATCTTAGCAGTGTAGACTGTGCTACATCTCTATGCTACCCACGTACTATCCATGGTTTTATTATTAATGTACACGTAATCTATAAATTCGACATGCTAACTTTGTAAATGTTCATAATTTAGAATGAAGATCTTTCACAACTTCCAAAGGCTGGTCAGGAAAGCAAGATTTTCACTGCGCTTAGGGTGAGTTATAGTACAGTACATGTAATTTTGAATTTATTTTGAAAGTCTATTCACCAGATCTCCTCAATTAGCTTTGCTTTCAAGTTATATGTTTTGTCTTGTTTGTGATACTAAATGAAAAAGTGACATATGCCAGGGGCAGATCAAGGGGGAGGGTTGCAGAGGGTGCGCACCCCTCCCTGGTTCGCCTTCCTTTGTGCCCCTACATCGAAGATAACCAATACAAAATAATGCACCCCTCCCTGAGTTAACTTTGTGCGCAGCACCCCTCCCTGAACGAAATCCTGGATCTGCCCCTGTGTGCAGTAGGTGTTAATTAATGAACTTCTTCGACATTATTGCAGCCATCTTGCCAGGGGGCAAAACAAAACAAAGTTGACAGAAAATATATAGAGTTTTGTGTGTTTGTCTTTCTTTTACGGGTGGTGGTGATCGATGTGTCATCTTAATTCATCTTTTGTTGTACTCTCTTGTGGTGAGCTGTTAATATCAATTGACATCATTACTGTAACAAAGCTTTATTTTTCCCCTGGATGCCCCATGATGCCTTGCGATCCAAGATGGTCGTCGTATCGTCGAAGTACTGTAGTCCATTGTTATTAAGTTTCGTTGTTGCTTAACTCTACTTTACCACGATAAAAGACTTTTTTACTGATTCTGTACATCGTAGCTATCGTGAATTATGGCATGCTAAAGGAGGGGGGGGGGGGGGGGGGGGGGAGCATAGAAACTTTATGAAGCAGAGTAGTGGGTTATATTTTCTAATTTTATTTGAAGTTTCTTTGTTTCACATATTATTCCAATTACTGGCAGCCGAAAATGTTTGGTTGATTATCAATGTCTTGTCAGTTTTTACTAGCCCAAAAAGTAATAACCATCTCTAGATTGCTGTAATATTTTTTTTCTTGTGTCTTTACATTAACAGGAAGAATTGAGAAGACAGCATTCTGAATTGATTAATAAATTAGAGTCAGTGTGGTCTAAGAGTATAACCTGGAACACTCCTACAACAGCATCTCTAGATAGCATTCATGCTCATCTTAAGACAAAACTAACTTTTACAACAGGTAAGAAAATCATAAATAGGCCATTCACTCCCGAGGATGGCAGAGAACCATCGAAAGTGGTAGGCTTTGCAAATCTACAAGTAAGGCGCACTGACTGATTTGGAGAAAATGGAAACTATCACTTGATTCAATTTGACTTGATTTGCTTTATTTTGACATGACTTGGTTTAAYGTGACATGACTTTGCTTAACATGACATGACTTGGTCTGACATGACATGACTTTGTTTAACATGACATGACTTGGTCTGACATGACATGACTTGGTTTAACATGACTTACTTGGTTCGACATGGCATGACTTGGTTTGACATGGCTTGGTTTAACGTGACTTGACTTGGTTAAACTTGACTTAAGGTTTGACATGACATGACTTGGTTTGACATGACATGACTTGGTTTGACATGACATGACTTGGTTTGACATGACATGACTTGGTTTGACATGACATGACTTGGTTTGACATGACTTGACTCAAGTTGACATTATCAAAAAATCTAATTGTGAACATAAAAAGTTGGAGTATTATTGCTGTATACATGTATAATCCTGATGCTACAAGTCTTGACATCTTTACCTTCTTCTTTGCTTATAGTTGAATCTGGTATGGAAAATGTAATAAATGCAATGCAGGTGAGATGCAGGATTGCAATGCTGCTAACACATTTTGTTCAGTACAGTACAATGCCTGTTTCACAAAAAAGGTGTTTTTTGCAATAACTTTAAAATTTTTCGCACGCTGATTGGTTATTTTTTATCAGTAATAAGAGGACAGACAATAAAGCTGACGTCAACGAGCATGCTCTCTTTCCATTGGTTGTTTTGATCACCTAAAAATATTAGAAGTTTTTGTTATTCTAAAAAACACGAGATAGACATCAGTTTTTTATGTGTCTGTCCTCTTATTGCGATAAATTTCGTCACCACATTGTCAAAGTAGTATGCGGATCCACTCGGCTTCACACTACTTTGACAATGTGATGATGCAGTTTATCTTCAATAAGAGGACAGACACATAAAAAAACTGATGTCTATTTGTTAAATAATTGATGCCAGTCACAAGTAATCATTAAAAGTACATGAGCACATGTTTTGTTTCATTGACAAGTGACTATAATTATTGATCATAGGCACTAAATGTGTTGGACAAGAGAATCAAGATATTTGGTAAGTTGTTTATTGCAGGGCTTGTAGTAAGTTGTGCTATTAGTTTCTGAATCAGTTTTCCCATTTCAAATGTCATTCCCTAGGGTATCATTTTTTTGTTTATGGTTGAAAAATGAGAATACACTATATACCATTATGATAGAGCTTTCAAGTACTTGACATGACAAATATTTCTTTATCCATTGATTATTCATAACTGTGATTTTCCATATTCCACATTTCAATGGCTTGTTGTGAAATTGGTTTTTACTGTCACAGTAAAGCCTCCAAAATAAGAGCAAAGCAAGGGGCTGAATCTAACTACACATAGTATAAATCGAAAAATTGTAATTCATTATTTTGATAAGGCAGTGTCTTAGGCCCCGTCCACACGTATCTGCAAATTTTTGTATCCGCAAATTTTTATCCGCAAATTTTTATCCGCAAATTTTTGAAAACGATCTCCAGAGTGGAAATTTTAAAATATGCTCCGAATACGGATACGTGTGGACGGTTGTATCCACAAATTTTTGAATATGCTGACGTAAACACAATTTTGTGCATGCTCAATAAGAAAAACTACATTGTATCCGTCAAAGGGACTAGGCACTAGCGTGCATCATGGCGGATGAAAACGATTCAAAAACGATTTGAATACGCTGCATGTGGACGCAAACATTTTCGTATCCGCAAAAAAATTTTGCAGATACAAAAATTTCCAGATACATGTACATGTGGACGGGGCCTTAGTGTTGCATTTAATGGAAAATCTGCATAATCATGGTATTTATATTTATACAATGTACATACCAAAAATGTACATTGTATAAATATAAATAAATAGATATTAGTAGTTGATATATATTAGGATTAGTATTTTATATTATTAGTATTAACATAAACTATAATTACTACTAATTTCTGATATTATTAAAATTATATCAGGGCTCCTATTGATAACAGTCACCCTTTGTTGTAACTGAAAGAGTTACCCTGTTGAAATAAAGCTGTTCTCAACTTAATTCTATTCTATTCTATTCGCAGGAAAGAAGCTCTTACAGTTTTTCTTCAGACCCATGATAGTGTTTCCAAAGTAAGGGGATACAATAAACTGTAATATTATTATATTGAAATGATTATGATTGAATAATGATAATAAATTATTTATTTAATAAAATAAATCATATAATAAACCACCTTTATTCCATCCATCATCATCTATTATTTTTTATCAGAATGATGTAAAGATTTTCCTCAAGCATTAGAAATTATAATGAATTGTGGTTTTCAAAATGCCAAATACATTAATTTTATTTGAATAGAATTGCTTATAATTAGTATTGACATTGCTTATTTATTTCCAGTCTAAAGCCATCCATAGAGAAAACAAAACAGGTTAGTCAAGTTTGAATTGTTTTTTAGGCTTTCTTCAATCTAATACTATTTCATATATAGAGGATATTACATGGACGTGCAGAGATACAAATTTTATCTTCAAGTGTTGAAAAGATCTCTCAAGAGTGAGTGTAGCAAACAAGTGAGAGATTTTCAACACGAGAAGATAAAATTCGTATCTCCAAGCGGCCATGTAATATTCTGTTTAATATATAATTATCAATGAAGTATGTTTTGGCTTCTTCAGGCAATTCTTTCCGTGAATTTTTGAATAGCCATCGCAATGGTGTTATTTTCACGTGTGAAGATATCAATTTTTTGAAATAGAGAAAAATAGATATTTCATTGGTAATTATATAATAAAATATTATCTTATATACTATTTTATAATATTCTTTATTTAGCTTTGCCTGTTTAATATCTACAAATGAATAAATTAAGCAATTAAATGAAATAGAAATGAGGTGGAGGCGTACATGACAATTTCAGTTTGGCACCAATAATAATAATATTGTGGGCCCTGTATGTCTTTTACATGGAAATTTTAATAAAGTAAGTCACCCAAAAAATCTATAAATGGCTGAGTTCATTAAGGATACTATTATGGTTAGATTTTTTCTAAATACATATCCATTTCCTGCATTTATTTAATATCCATTTGATATACAGGACTTGTACATGTATCTTGATTGATTTTGTTTTTCCTTTTTTATATAAGAATCTTTTACCAGTAAGTTATAGTTTCATGTACCTCCTGGTCGCATCCTCAAGTTGCAGTTTGCACATTTGCTTGAAAACTTTGCTTTTCCTTTACTGTACACATACTTCCTGGCATTTTTTTAAAGACCCTTCCCTACTCCCAGAAATTCCAATTTTCTTCCATACAAACTCTGTAATTTTATTCTTTCTCTTCTTTTAGTCTGTAGTTGTCTCACTTGTGAAGGATCCTACCAGGCAGAAGGTCTTAGATCCAGGTACAAAACAGATTGTTTAAACCTTGTCTATCAAACTATAAAGGCTCATAGTTGTTACCCAATTGCTGGGTTTCACTTGACGTCATTTACTGTCTTGTGCAGAAGCTTGCCTGATTTTTTTCTGTGAGTTACTGTAGCTTGCTCAGACTTATGACAGCCCAGAGGTTGTTTCATGGTGTCGATAAAATTTAAGGTTAAAGCTATCTAATAAACTTGCCAATCAACTGCTTTTTAAGATCAAAAGCTAATTGGCTATGTCTCTTGGCTTTTGACCTAGTATTATTAAACACTCTGTCATCCTGCTCATTTATGACACAGCTGAATTATTATTATTATTATTATTTTTTTCAAATTGTCTCAGGAAAAGTTTATATTAAGATAACCGAGGTGTTGGATGTAATCAAGAACCACTTCCATCCAAACGAAGAAGAGAAATCTGAAAAACCTGGAGATAATAATGAGAAAAATGTACAGCTGTTCAGTTTGTTAGGTAATGTTTGACAAACATTAGATAATTAGAATTTGGAGACAGTTATCTTATGTACACCTATAATTTATTATGCAAACAACACAGGGTGCTGCAAATCAAGGCGGATCCGGGGGGGGGGGGGGGGGA